TCACACAAACTCTTGGTACAAAGAAAGGTAAGGGCTAGCACAAAGCTGCCTCTATATAGGAATAAGTATTGCACTACAATGGAGCTAGGCTGAAAAACTGTTAAAAGGAAATATGTTAACTTTTTCGTACAGGAAAATCTTATGGCAAAGGGAACAGGAATTGGGAAAATAGGCAAAGAAATTGGGTAGACGGGTCTAAGTTTTGATATTTGCTTCTCAAGGTCCCTCAAATCCTGGTGTGCACAGTGAAAACAAATCCCCACGGGGTTGACAAATCTGGTCCCAGGTGCCCCAAAGTTGGAGTGCAGTCTTGCCACCAGAGCTATATCCTATTAGAACCTAAAGGAATTGGATCAGGCAGTGTCAAGGTTCTTTCCCCACTCTGAACTCTAGGGTACAGATGTGGGGACCTGCATGAAAAACCCCCTAAGCTTATTTTTACCAGCTTAGGTTAAAACTTCCCCAAGGTACAAACTATTTTACCTTTTGCCCTTGAACTTTATTGCTGCCACCACCAAAGTCTAACAAATATATAATAGGGAAAGAGCCCACTTGGAAACGTCTTTCCCCCCAAAATCCTCCCCAAACCCTACACCCCCTTTCCTGGGGAAGGCTTGATAAAAATCCTCACCAATTTGCATAGGTGAACACAGACCCAAACCCTTGGATCTTAAGAACAATGAAGAAGCAATCAGGTTCTTAAAAGAAGAATTTTAATTGAAGAAAAAGTAAAAAGAATCACCTCTGTAAAATCAGGATGGTAAATACCTTATAGGGTAATCAGATTCAAAACATAGAGAATCCCTCTAGGCAAAACCTTAAGTTACAAAAAGACACAAAAACAGGAATATACATTCCATTCAGCACAGCTTATTTTATCAGCCATTTAAACAAAACAGAATCTAACGCATATCTAGCTAGATTACTTACTGAGTTCTAAGACTGCATTCCTTTTCTGTTCCTGGCAAAAGCAGACAGAGAGCCTTTGTTTCTCTCCCCTCCAGCTTTGAAAGTATCTTGTCTCCTCATTGGTCATTTTGGTCAGGTGCCAGCGAGGTTATCCTAGTTTCTTAACCCTTTACACATGAAAGGGTTTTTCCTCTGGCCAGGAGGGATTTTAAAGGTGTTTACCCTTCCCTTTATATTTATGACAGGCAGAGATGATGCACTGCCTGTCTGACTAAACAGTACAGTCTCCTGGGATTTAATGATCATCCAGTTGGGATGGTACCATATTAAGATACTTATATGGCCCCCATTACCCTGGTGTCTGAGCGCCCAACAAACTTTAATGTATTAATCCTCACAGAATCCAGTGATACTGTTGTAATAAAGATGTTCAATTCAGACCTCAACTATCCCTCATTTTAAAGAACGCCATTGATCTTAGCCTCTCGCCACTTATATTCCATACAGATTGTTGCTCCTTCAGTTTTATTGCTGAAAATAATTTATAGCAGAATAAATAATAAAAACTGAGTTTACAGTGTTATTTATACTGAAAGAATGAATCTCATAGCATTTAAGTCTACATTTAGGTGTTAACAGGTTGAGAGGTAACTAACAAAAGCTTATTCTGTAATCAAGCAAGCAGATGCTTACCTGAGCTTCTCACTTAGCTCTGTAGTTTAAAGCTTCTTGTTAAAAAAAAAATACATTTTGCTTCACCTCATACAAGCATTGTTGATATTTCTAAATTTAGATACCATATATTTCTGTTCTGGGGTTCCTAGAGTAACCTGTTTTCTCAAAGCCAGGCCACAGTGATGCCAAACTGCATTATAAAATAATTTCCTAATTGTAAAATACTCTTTTTCAATGATACTATTGAAAAGGATGTCGTCATTCTTCATAAGATGAACACATCCCTATGAACAGTAGGATGGGTTTTTGTTTTTGAATAGAGACAAGCCATGAATGTACTGCAATAATGATTAATAAGGTACCTTAATAAATTCTACCTCCCCAAGTTACGAGCTATTTCCTTTTGCAGTATCTAAATAATTCAAAAGACTAACAGAAGGGGCAGTTCTGGGTATATTCTGTTGCACACTCGAGTATGCCCAAGTCTCTGAACCTTACTTAACTGTGGAAGTCTAAAATCTCCCATGTTTAGGAGATACATGAAGCCATCATTTAATTTACTTTCAAATCAGTGGTGCCACTGTCTTCATAGTCACCATTTCCAGTAGTACAGATTCCTTCACCTCACCAAAAGCAGAAATTCTGGTGCTGACATCTCAGGTATCTGTTAGCAGCACTCATTCGCTTACGCAATGAATCCACTCCAAGAAATTCCATTTGAAGCTTTGATTTCAGAATGGACATAAAAGCATGACCATCTATTGTGCTTTATCCACAGGTAAATCAAGTATTAAAGGGCGTGCACAAGCAACTGGAGGGTGGGGGGGAAACCATTAACACCCACCTCTTCCCCATCATGGACTGTTCCTTTTTTGAAGGAGCTCTAGTTTCTATCATATATAAGACTGCTTCGCTCTAGCCTTTTGAATAAATACAACCATTTGAATACACAGTTAAAAAAAAAAAAAAAAAAGGCAGGCTGACATCAGTTTAGATGTAGCCTGAAACAGAGTACTTCAGAATGCTGGGGAAAGCATAAGTTAACCCATATCTTCATGCAGTTAAGGAAACAGGGTTCCCAAACCTATTGCAGTATGATCATCATCTGCTGCAGAATCCATTATGAACTGCAGAAAGTAGAGAATGCAGCGCTAATTGTGCTCTGGGATCTGCACAGAACCCTGACTGTAATGGAACTCTATGTGGGCACAGCAATCCACACACACACACAGAGTTCACTGTAAGTTCAGGGCTCAAGCTTGTATTTGGCATTATCTGATCTGATGAGGGTTGACCAATCACAAACCCCTACATTGGGAATGCCAAAAACGGTTAGTGGTGAAAAAGGAGAAAAAAGAAAGGGAAGTTAGTTCACCTTAGAAGAAAATGAAAAAGAAGGTGCCACTGAAAAGATCCATGTGAAGCTCATGATGAAACTGATTAACAAAAGCCAGTAGTTTCTTGTAGTTTTACATTCCTTATGGCTGTGTGACAATATGAATTTTCCCCAATTGCCATAATTAAAAAAAAAAAAAAAACTATTCAAGGCACCAGCCTTTTATCTTAACTAAGTGGAGACTTGCACAAGGGCCAAGAAATGACTTGATAGGTGTCTCATGACTTTCTATTCTCTAGGATGATGACAGTGATTAAGTTATACATATGAGCAGAAAGCTTGTTTTAAAGCTTTAGCAGTGATACAAAAAGGTATTCCAAGATGAATATACTCTTCTATATTATAAGGATCCAACCAGACAAACTCACCCTTCAGTTATTTTACTGAAGTTTATGAAGTTACACTAGGAATGAATTTGGTCCAATATTTTTGTATGCTTTTGCCAAAACACTCAATATGGAAAAACTGTAGTTGTAGAACCTCTAGTGAGCCAAGTAGGTACAACTATGTTGAGGCAAATTCCTAACAAGTTGCACCCATGCAATTTAGTACATATTTTGCAATAAAGAGCAAAAATTAGCTCATCCTATTTAGCGTTTCTTCACAAATATTCCTGGAATCACTTTGCCTGCCCTGCATGTCATGGCTGAAGAGAGAATTCTCGTAGTTTTGTGAAAGAAGAATCTGCAGGGTGCTAGTTTGCTTATCTAAACTGAAATGAAATTCTAGTAATAATTCTTAATATGTTCTGCCAGAAATCCATTAAATAAATGAGCACTGGAAAGAGAGAAAATGAATCCTGTCTATGCTGTGGTAGAAAGGTTTTAACAACAAGTTTGGAGTGGTTGGTTGACGTGTAGGTGGTGAAGCCATGAGTTAGGCAGGTCATCCAAGCGAAAGTGCCAATAAAACCTTTATACCACAGTGTTATGCACTCAGTATATGCCACAAATGTTACACCCAGAAATAGATATTTTTGTATACCCCCCCCGCAAAAAAAAAAAGTGCTTAGTGCTGCTGCTCAAAACAAACAAACAAACAAAAAATGTTAAAATGACTTTTCTCATCTTTGGAACTAGGAAAACAAACTAGGATACAGAAATTTTCATAGCAAAGCAGTAATACCACAATGCTGAATTAAGGGAAGAATTCCTATTCAGATCAGCAACAGCATCCATAATAATTTTCCACCATGTTGAATGTTTGTCCAAATCTAATTGAAGGTGAATCTTCAGAGTCCTCCCTGACTACAATATTTGGGCCCAATACACTAGTGCAATTTGGCTCCCCTGTGTCACTCCAATTTAAACCCAATGCCATAACAGCCCAGCCTGCCCTGTCTGGACTCTAGCTGGCCTGGCTGCTGGAACAGCACGGGGGCACAGGCCGCTGGTAAATCAGAGCGGAATTCACATGGAAGACTGCTTTACCTTCCACTGGAGACCAATCCAGCCCCATGTGGTTCCAGGATTAGAGAAGCATAAGGGTAGATTAAAGCCACCTCTTCTGCACACTATCTTTCATAGGTATATTACTAAAAGCAAATAATCCTTCATCTTTTTCATTCCACAGACCACTTGTTTAGAGAAGGAACCAATCTCCTCACCCATCCACCCACCCCACATCCCCAACCCCAACTATTTGTGTTCATCATGTCTCCATTACTCACTGCTTAATTCTGAAAGAGTTTCATTCCATGGACTACCGGGAAGGGATCCAGAGCTACCACTGATACAGACTATAGCCTGAGAACCACTGGTATAATCCATTTTAACTTCCTCTTTCTGCTTTGCAATATACAGATGCATAGCTCATGCACTATTCACGCAGTAAGCAACATGGTGTAAGAAGGTAACAGGCTAAACAAAGCAGCAAACAACATGCAGAGCTTTTGGTAGTGGAACAGGCAGAAGGACTTAGAAGAGAGCTCCCTCCTGGGCTATGTATTCAGCTTTATGGTGTACAGTGTTAAAACCTTCAAAAAGCTGTTTATGGAATGTATTGTTTTACTAGAGCTCACCTCTTCAACCATATGTTTGACTTTCTTCTGTTGGCAATGGACCATGTCATCCAGATGTTTGATTCGTTCTCTAAGACCAGCTGCAACATCTTCCAGATGCTGTGACCTGATATAAGTTATAAGAACTAAGTAAATATGTAGGAAGCCACACAATGTAAATAAAAGAACAACCAAACCAAACAAAAAATAAACACAACGCCAAAGTAGATCAAGAAAAGGAACCTCATTAAATAAGCCAAATTCCACTGACAAATGTCATTTCCTATATTTGTCTAAAGTTCATTTTTATGGTTATCTGTTTGGTCATTAGTCATTGTCAGACACCACCCACTTAGCTCACCTTTACCTTACATATCAGAGCTGCCAAAATTTAGAGAAGTTTCACAAGGGATACTTGTTCAAACAGAATGATGATCTGGGATCTTCTAGACAATCAGCCCTGGAGAGCTGCATGCACATTATGGTCTGTTTTAGCACTTACAAACCATTATCTGATTAATCCCCACTTCATCACCAAGAGGCAGATGTTACCAAGGAGAAAAAGTAAGAGTTCACAGACTGTGCTCACTGAGCTGTCCTACAGTTCAACATAGGATGTGGTACAGAAATTACTTTTTTAAAAATGTTGTGACTATACATACTAGAGAAAGAGATAATTAAGATATTGATTGCAAGGATCCTAGTGGCCTGATTTTGGGTGCTCAGCACTTCTGAAAAGAGTCTGGCCTTTGTCTTTTATATCTATTTTAAAAAAGCATAGCAGCTATGCATGAAACTATATGGACCTAAAAACTGATTTCTCAGCAATGCAATGTACTCTACCTAATCCATCATGATTGCACTCAACTTCTCTCATAAATAAAGCTGAGAAGGATGAATTTTTGCAAAATAAATTCTCTTGCAGTTTTCCTACATAAAATAAGGCAAATATAATTTGGGAAGGAATTATCCAGCTGGAACATATTACAACCAAAGTTAATATAACAGATTCAGGTTTGAAATTTTTTTAACAATGCTAGAAATCTCAGTAAGGAGTAAAATCTCACCTCTGTCTGTCTGAATGGGTTTGAGATTTTGCTCCAGATATCTGGATTTCATGTTGTACCAGTTGTTTTTGTAGCTGGTGGCGTTCCTAAACAAGAAAATGTTATTTCTCCACTTCTTCACATTGTAAATTTAAGTACATTTTATTGTGATTTAAAAAGGCCCATAATATGTTAAACAAAAACAGAAGCTGATTCAGCTACAAGTTATTACTATATTACAGAACCCTGAATTCTCAGCTGAGCACAAGATAAATGACAATGTTTTCAGTCTTCAGTGCCACTGTCAAGGGGCAGCTTTGCTTGCAATTTTGTAGGTAAGTGAGACTCTGAAGGATAAAGACGTGTGAGCTGAAATGCAACTCTGAAAGAACATTATCTTTCTGACCCACAAAGGGACTCCATCTCTCTAAAATTCTTACAGGTCGAAGATATGATTGCATTTAAGGTCTTGGATGCAGAGCTTAAATGAACCACATGACCACTGTTGATAAAATGAATATAAAATTTTCCATATTGTTCCTCCAAAAGGATCTCCTGATCCAATGTATTTTGGCAGAGATAGGAGGCGTCTCCCTATTTTTCTCCCAAAATGTCCCTACTTATCCTGTTCAAATGTTACCCAGCATGAGTGCTGAGAGGATCTGTGCACTTGTAGGGTCTGATCCTGCTCTACAAGTCAAGGTAAGTTTTGCCTTTCATGTCAATGAGACCAGGATTGGGGCCTTAGATAACAGCCAAATATTTAAACAGCAACACAAGCAGAACAGCAGGAGTTCAGAGCTGACTACATAAATTAATTAACAAAAAGTAAAGTTCACATGCATTTCCTAACACCAAGGATCATAATGTACCACTTTACTCATTGAATACCACCTTTATCACTATGAATAACGCCACTAAACGCAGTGGGACGACCTGTAGAGTAAGGAATTACAATCTGGCCCAAAAGTGATTTATCCAACATTACTGCTAACTGATAAATGAAGCTATTTTAATTTATGTCACAGCTAGATCTTAAACTGAGAAGAGTCCACCTAAATAGTTATAATCCAGTCAATGCACTTTTGTTAGTTGGGTAAAGAGGACATTAATATACTACATATAGTTTAAACAAGGGTTAGTAATCCCATCTAGCCAGCAAGTGTGGATGGCGATATTTGTTTCTCTGTATTAGCAAATAATTAGTAGTTATATTTAAATTGAAGCTAAAGCACACCAAGACCGTAGTTTTTAAGAATTGAGTTTTATTATGTTTTAGGATTAAACTAACCAAAACCTTACGTTCCTGTCACCACTCAGGATTTCTAGTGAGTCCTTACTTCTGCATTTCTGTCTTTTAGACAGTAAGTTCTTTGGCAGGGATTGTATTTATTTTCATATATTGAACAATGCCAGACATGCTAAAGGCACTAAACAAATAATATTGCAGACTCCATTACTGAATATAATGGAATCACTGATCATTTCAGATTAATAATTACAATGAAATTTCCCTTAGTTGACACTGGGGGAATAAACCTGTTTCAGACATCAGGGAACTTCCAACAGACAAGGTTCAGATAATAATTGTATGTGTAAGTAGAGGCACTGCACTACTAGACTTACATTAGAACAATTATCTCAAAACCAGTGTGAGTTTTGCCCGGAAACGAAGTCCATAAAATAGAAGAAGGCAGGGCTGGAGATATAAGGAAATGACAGAAACTGCTACAACTTGTTCTACAGCAGTGCTGCTAACGTCACAAGAGATAAGTATCTGGCAGCATTTCTGCTTTGAGGGCGTTACAAGTCAATTGTAAAAATATGTTCAAGGCTGCAGCATGGTAGACCATATTTGAACCAAGGAGAGAAACATTTGACAATATTGTGTGCAGAGAAGTAAGGAAGAACCATTTTATATATCAGAGGTAGACTAAAAACTGAATGTCTGGGGTCACTGTAGTAGTTTGTATTTTGAAAAATAATAGTATTTTTCAAAATACTCTGAAAAATAATCAAAAATAAGTTATGTGCATGGAAACATAGATGGTTGTTCATGCACAGAAAGTTTGACATCAAAATTCAAAAGGAATCTTAGTCTGAAGTCTTAAGAGTTTCATCCTGATGTACAGGAACCCTGAGGTGCAATTCCAGTTAAAACTAATTACAATAATAGGTTTTTCCCCGATGCATTTAGATAAAAATGTTTTCATATATATGCATTTGTTACCCAGGTCAGCGGTACATTTATAAGATTTTATGTCTAATCACTAAAGGACCATAAAGGATCCAGAAAAACTTGTACAGGCTATTAGGAGATAAAATGTGTTTGTTTGTTTAAACTGTCCTTTCAAAATAAAGATTAGCCCCATGTGTGTCTCAGCTCAAAAGCAGCCGTGAAAGTTTTTGCAAGTAACAGCTCCCACAAACAGCAGAGTGGGCAAAGGGTGCCAACTTGCCATGGTGTGTCCTCAGCAGTCCAAGTGCTAAGAGCATGGACGGATGCAATAAAGGGTTTTTTATTTTATTAACAGGAAGAAGTGGTGCGTGGGATAGAGGCCATTGGAGGAGAGGGATGTTGTTGACTCACAGGGGGCTGAAGAAACAGGTGCACTCCTATACAACTCTTGCATTTTTGCTAAAAAGAGCATAGATATTGGCACCCATACTTTAACATTTGTGAGCAGAGAACATTACCTCTTCCATGCGCTGAATGAACCGATCCAGCTCTCCAATCCTCTCGTCTTTTTCCTGTATACTTGTCTCTGTAATTTGCATCTTCTTATTTGCCTCCTCAATGGCCTTCAGAAGTCTATTTGTTTCTGCCTTTGAACAAACAAGTTTATGTTCATATCCACAAACAATCAATAAAATTGATGAATGAAAAGTAAGGAGCTGATTTCTGTGTTATACAATAGGGTTGTTTTTTTTTTAAAAGTAGACTCAATAAAGCCAATAAAGTTAGGTGCCCAAGAACTGAGACTTTTTGCAAACCAAACATCTAGCTTTAGCATCGAATATGAGTTTTGTGGCACATAAAATGTGGGTGATCAAAATAGTGGCGTTACATCCCTGTATTAAAAGGCTTCTCAGCAATTAGCTTTAAAAACAAAAAAGGTTTGCACACCACTCCCCTCAGTGGATGCACACGTACTCAGTAATGAGAGAAGAAAATGTACTATTCCCAAGAACAGTATGTTTAGTTCCCAAAGCCTGTCACTTTTAACTGCATTTATATCTGTATCACATTAAGGCTGGAGAGCTTGACTTCAGTTTCTGTGGCGATCAGTGAGTGGTGTTAGTTAACCTTGTTATTGACCAGAAATATACAAAACATGATCAGAGGAAGCTTTTGGAAGGAAAAAAAAAATGTTCTCAGGATTTCTCTACTGAAATTTATTTTTTTCCCCTCTTGAGATTTCACTAAAGTCAGAGGATTTGTACTTTCCATTTTCTTAGATCAGGAGTAGAAAAACCATCCACTTTTTTCATTTTGAAATTTAAATTTTTACTGTCCATTATGTTTAGACACCCTATTCTTCAGCTTTAAAACTCTAGTGACTATGAAAGTTTAAAAGTTGCTGTGACAAGACATGAAATGAAAAGAAACTGGGGTACAAATAAATTTAAGACTTCAAATTAAATTATATTGACAAATGTAAGGACTGCACTTCAAACACTGAACTGAAGAACACTGTTACAAACTGGCTGTACATACTATTAGAGTTTCTTTCTCAGCTATATGTTTCTGTTCTTCTTCTTGTAGTTTTTCTTCATACTGGCTGTACAGTCTTCTGGTCATCTCTCTCATTACATCAGCATTGGCTTCTTGAGAGCATTCTACCTATAGGAGCGAACAAAAGAGAACTTCTACAGCTGAACCCTCTCTCGGTGCACCATTGCTGGAGACAAGAAAAATGGAGCTCAAACCAACCAAAAGGTAGAGATGTAACTGATGTTGATAGGTAGAGCCTTCCCTTAGCATTGTTACAAAATATACTCTACTATTAGGCCTGATTTACACCAAGTCCACATTACAGCACTCTGGCAGTGTAAAAGGGCCTTTCAAATGGGTGTAAGTTACAATTACACCAACTTTAGAGCCCCTTCACACTGCCAGAGTTAACATGCCATTAATGTAACTGAGAATCAGGCCTGACTCTTTATTAAGTTCTCTCATGACACCCTCTCACACACTTGAAGTTTGCTCCCACGTATGACAATTAATTCAAAATTCTCTAATTTTACAGGAGTATAGCTTAGAAATGAGCCTGAACCAAAACCCATATCCAAATGCCCATGCACTTTGCACTGATCAAAATCCAGATCCAATATTTACAGTTTTGAGCCCATCTGCGCTGTAGACTGAAATAAAAGCTAAATAAAACTAAACTAAATAGCTTTGCTAGGACTTGATTCTCCTCTTACTTGCTCTGCTGCAAATCTGGAGTGACACCATTACAGTCATGGGAGTTACCCTGATCTAAGTGAGAGGAGAATTTAGGCCTACAAAACTATTAACTTAGTGTTATTTACATTGGTGTTAATCATGGTAATAAGAAAAGAATCAGGCACTTAGTGTTTAACGCTGGAACTCTAGTGCTCCTGGTTATAGAAGATCTCTGTTTTGAACATCTGAGTTATCTTGTTTCAAGGACTGCAAGATTTATCAAACCCTTATACGGTCTTACTCAGTGGGAACAAACTGTTCAAATGTTATTGCTCTGCATAAAAATAAAAAGATATTTTGTCTCTGAAGAGGGACAGATCTCTCGGAAGGATTCCATTTGCATTGTAACTGCCTTCTGTGGCATCTGACCCAGATCTCTACATTAGGACAGAGAGCAAGTTTTTGCCAATGCAATCTAAAGGAACAGGAATTAAATAAACTTTAATTAAAGTATATGCTGAACCCCCAGAGTTACAGTAATGTGGTTAGAAATGACAAAACTAGGAAAGCAGAGTTGCAACAGTTCAACCCTAACCTCCCTAAAAAGTGTCAAAGTCGAGTATAATTTCCCGTGCCACCTCTCCCACCTTCCTTTGTTTACAATTTGGGTGGCCACCGCAATAACTAACAACGTTCTCAAGTGAGAATATAAAAGAAATGATTGTAACAGAGAGGAACATTCCTGACTGGCAGTAATAAGGGTAGTTGGTAATTTTTGCCTTTTCACAGCCAACCCCCACAATACCAAATTCTCCTATGTGCCCTCCCCACCCCCAAATTAAAAATCAGATCCTGTAGATGTTTCTGCATATGACTTAACAAGCAACTTTCACTATGCCAGCATGTGCTTAACTTTTAGCACTTGCTCACATTCCATTGATGCCAACTTGCTTGACGTTAAGCACATGCTTAAGTGCTTCACTGAATTAGGACCTACAGGCTGAATTCTGCCCTCAGATTCTACACATAGCTTTCCCTCACTTCATGTTTGGGCCAGGACATGTCCTCAAGATTAGAATAAACTACGAATTTCTGTTTTGAAATCCTGATTTCTTTTCCTCTACGCTCTTCCTCTGATTATCCTTTCCTTCTTTTTATTCCCTACAGACCACAGCAGATGCAAGCACAAAAACCTTGTAAAACTATTGTTGAAAGGAAATTAGAACATAAAAATACATTAGTAAGCTGGTACCCTCCCTCTTTAGTGTGATGGATCTGGGCCATCTATCATTATGCACCAATGTAGGATACAAGAGACCCCAAGATAATCATCTGTTTCTGACTTTTTAAAATGTCAGTAAATCAGTGGTCACCTAATTTCATGGAAGGGATTTAATGTATTTTTAAAAATATTTCTGATACTGCATGATTGTTCCAAGTTATTTGAAATGCTGTTAACTGCTCTGATATGATTTAATGAAAGCTTCCAAATGCAAGACAGTGGGACTCATAAAAAAGGCCCATATGATAACTCCAGCTTGCATTTCATTCCCTTGTGCTTACCTGAAAACCTGTCCCACAACTAACTTCTCTTTTCAGGGTAATTTGCTCTTAGGGTGCACCTCTGTTGCCCAATAAATACTGTACATGTGAACAAAACATAACAGATTTCTGATGAAAAACTGTGAAAGGTACAGTACTGGCTGTCAATAACACTCCATGCATGGTCGGTGAAGAACTCTACACAAATGTGGCCAAATCTCTTTTTCCAAGAAATTAATCTCATTGCCTCAGCAATGTCCTTATTGTACAATATGAATAAGGGGAGTTTACATACCGTACCTTTAGTTTCAGTAGCTGATTTTCAACTTGGGCTGTTTCCAGCTGTTTTTGCTTTTCTTTCAGTTTTTCCATGGACTGCTCATGTGTGTGTTTTAAATTCCTTATTTGATCCCTTATATCTGTGTTCTCCAAACTAACATCCACTAAAGTTTTCTAAAATGAACACAACGAAATGAACACAATTTGCAGTAATAACAATAATTAATAAATAAAAATCATAATTCGACCAACCTACCACAAGAGACTTTTTGCAATATTTAGAATATTTTAGAGTTTACGGTTTTGTTGACATCGTGTTAACATAGTTAATAGCTTTGGCTCTTTAAAGTTATGGTTTCCAATTATTTGCTTTACGAAAAAAATCTCTCCATAGGAGCATGTTCATTAAAATGCAGTCCCAGAGAGCTTTGTGATCAAGAGGAAGAGACACACATGCATTACAGTGCAAACACCACTTCCATTTGATACTGTAATACAACTGAAGTGAAATGTTGGATTTTCCCCTCCATTCTTCCCCTTTCCAAATGCCAAATTTTAAGATAATAAACCTGAAAACACTGAAGTTTGACACAGGGAGGCAGGAGAGTCGAGGAGGCTAGCTGGGATGGATGCCAAGCTGAAAACATTTTTATAAACAAGAAAAATGATCTTTGTATGTTTACAAGAGTGGCTACTCAATATTTGTAAAATTAAAAAAAAATCATTGAAATTTCCATCAATAGAAAACAACAATGGGACAAAATCATGTGATGTGTCATTGATTTGTAAAATATGGAAAGAGTCTCAGTTTCACCTTTAATTTTCCATTGAGCAAAGGCTAATGGCTTTCACCAGCTGCAATGGAGTGAAACAACACTTTACTGTATATTAAAGGATAGCCTTTTAGCCAGCAAAAACTCCTGGATTTTTCTTAACTTCATCATTTTTCTGTTTTAAATGTTCTTAGTCACATTTGATGGTTAAGATCCGAATGTGTATCTAACCATCATCCATCCCTCGTGTATACTGTTAAACTGATAGCACAAGAGGGAGTCTAGGATGGTGGCTGATGGATCAGGCCATTCTCTTTGATAGAGCTATTAACAGCATACCTGCAACTCAATTGATGCCGATGTCAAGGAGCTGTTCATTTCACTGAAGCTATCCAAGGCTGCAGCCTGCACTTGCATATGACTCTGTAAGGATTCTTTTTCAACATTTGTTATCTAAACAGATTAAGAAAAAGATATAAAAAACAATCCTCACATTTTAAAATTCTTTCAAAAGGATGATAGCTGCCACCAGTTTAGCACTGGAGAGACAAGAGATTAATCTCTAGGTAAACTTTTCTCTATTGGAAATCCTGTGTTAACCAAAACTTCATTTTAAAAGCTTAAATTTTGGCCTTGGAAGCAAGCTATGCTGAGATATAGAAGCAGTTTTTCAGTGTCTTCTCATGGTGTGTGCCATCATGCACATTAATCACAACAAGGACTCAGGCTCTAACTCTTGAGGTCACAAAAAGAGAACTTTCCTCTAGCTAAACTTGGTAAAAGAAATTCATCTTTGTGCAGAGGGAATTCATCCCTTTTGGTGCTTAATTGGGGCTTACCCGGTGCATAGGCCTTGTGCTGACCCTGTGCACAGAGGCAAATTTCACCCAATAAGAACTCCTGCAGAGTTTTTCTCACCTTGAAGTTGTACTTTGCATATTTTTAAATTTTGCCAGTTTTCAAAAAGAAAAGATTCTGGTTTATAAAAAATATTTGTGTGTCTAGAAACTGCTGTGAGGATCTCCACGAAAGATCAGAATTGCAAATGCATGTAAGAGCATTCCAGCAGGTGAAACAACACTCATACTCATTTATTGTTATTTAGATAGCATGGTAAATTTTCACAATACTTTAGAGTAGCTAAAATATACAGACCCCCAAATTGACAAAGTTCCTGCCCCAAACAAACACAAACACACACAAACAGATACAGGACAGCTGTTTATTAGCACAACTCAACGATAGGAGTAGGAGGATGTTTGGCAGTTGTTTACTGGGAAAGCTGCTGTAGGCACATGGGGTGGAGTGCAAGAGGACATACAGTCAGGAGCAGGTGAAGGAAAAAATTGGAGAAGCTTAGAGAGAGGCGTGGCTGGAGTGCAGGGAGCATGACAGTGTAGGAGGAGATGAGACCAGGAATTCAGGGAAGCAAGTAAAAAGCTTTGAAGGTAAGAAGCATGAGCTTAAATGTGAGAGTGATCAGTGGGGAGCAGCCAACACAAACATTTACTATGTTTGAACTTTTCAAATATATATGTGTGACAGGCTGGATCACAGAAACCCCCTTGGGGCTGCCACCTGATGTGCCAAGACTACTTCTGCCCCTGCCTTCCGTGTCAGCTTGGGACTCCAGAACCCTGACTGGCTGTGCCAGACATGCTTGCAAGCAACAAACACAGACCCAGGTCTGAATTACGTCCCACAAACTGCAAGCTTAACTGAGAGCAGCTTACAGAAGTGTGCCTGTCTCTAACACTCAGATGCCCAACTCCCAATGGGGTCCAAACCCCAAATAAATCCGTTTTACCCTGTATAAAGGTTATACAGGGTAAACTCATAAATTGTTTGCCCTCTATAACACTGATAGAGAGATATGCACAGCTGTTTGGCCCCGCCCCAGGTATTAATACATACTCGGGATTAATTAATAAGTAAAAAGTGATTTTATTAAATACAGAAAGTAGGATTTAAGTGGTTCCAAGTAGCAGACAGACAGAACAAAGTGAATTACCAAGCAAAATAAAAACAAAACACGCAAGTCTAAGCCTAGTAAAGTAATAAAACTGAATATAGCTAAAATCTCACCCCCAGAGATGTTTCAGTAAGTTTCTTTCACAGACTGGACACCTTCCTAGTCTGGGCACAATCCTTTCCCCGGTACAGCCCTTGTTCCGGCTCAGGTGGTAGCTAGGGGATTTCTCATGATGGCCGCCCCCTTTGTTCTGTTCCACCCCCTTATATATCTTTTGCATAAGGCGGGAATCCTTTGTCCCTCTGGGTTCCCACCCCTCCTTATCAATGGAAAAACACCAGGTTAAAGATGGATTCTAGTTCAGGTGACATGATCACATCACTGTAAGACTTCATTACTCACTTGCCAGCACACACGTATACGGGAAGACTTAAAAGTAAAACAGAGCCATCTACAGTCAATTGTCCTGGTTAATGGGAGCCATTAAGATTCCAAACCACCATTAATGGCCCACACTTTGCATAACTACAATAGGGCTTCAGAGTTATATTTCATATTTCTCATTTCAGAAACAAGAGTGATACATTTATACAAACAGGATGACCACTCATTAGATTGTAAGCTTTGTAATGATACCTTAGAAGAGACCTTTTGCATGAAGCATATTCCAGTTACATTATATTCACACTCATTAGCATATTTTTATAAAAGCATTTAGGGTACAACATCACAATATGAAACCAACCAACCTTAAGGTGTCTAAGAACATAAAGGAAGATACACCAGACCAAACAGTGCCAATGATTATGAACCAAGGTCTAAACTTATCATGCATACAAGCAAACAAGGTCTACCTCTAGATAAAATACACAAGCATCGTGGACCAACCTTCATCAGTATTTAACAATTAGCATTTACTAGCCAAGCCATGCACCAACTGAGCGAGAGCATACAGGAGAAGGCAGTGCTCAAGGCTCACTTCATAGAGGTGTGTGCACATGTAAAAAGTGATCAAGGAAGGACTCTTTTGGACAAATTGCAGAAGAGAGGTTAGGTGGGGAGGACCTAGAAGAAAGGTTCAGTGACCAAGGGCAGGATTTCACTTGTGCACAGGCAAGAGTTTTAGCAATAGGGATAAAAGTGAGGGGCAGTTTTTGGAGATGCTACAGACAGAGAGAGAGAATTTATGGCAAGGGCCCAGAGGTGATGGGAGCAGAAATAAAAGGATTCTAAAATGTTGCCAAGTATGAGAGCCTGGCTGTCTGGGAAGACGGTGGGGCTGTCAAAAGCAACAGATAAGATGGAGAAAAGGAGGCTTAGGGATAAGAAGTTTAGTCTGGGGAATGTAAGATGGTGGTTAAACACCCAGAAGGCAATACTGAAGAGACACTGGACTACACACTTAACTATCACTATGTCATTCCCTTGAAATGCCACACACAATTCATTTGACTGAGCCAGGACTGCATGACCTGAAAAGAGCTACATGTTACTGCTCTTCCTAACTACCCAATTTATGGCATTGGGATCTATTGACAAGCTACCATTACCTGAAAAATGATCCTATAATCATTAACTAGAAGGGGGAAGCTCAGCACAGGGTAGATGGAATTCCATAGTGCATTTGGCACACTTTACAGAGACAAAAATGGTGTGTGCCCAGAGTGCCTTTGGCCTTGAACAGCCCTTTATATTATTGTAGAAGTCCAAATAAACAAATAAATAAATTCATCCAATAATAGATCCCAGAGACATTTACATTTCTCCCATATTTCAGGCCAAATCCTGATCTCTTTGAGGTCAAAGCAAAAACTCCCATTGGCTTCAAGGGGATCTAGTTTAGTCCTTATGGCAGCATTTGGGACACAGTTCTCTGATCTTTAGCTACTTTTTGGACTCTGCTTCCCTTCTACAGGGCACAGAAACTGATGGAAAAAAGATTAAGTGAAAGAGAAGCAAGTATTCATATTTTCAGACACTCCCAAGTATCAGGAAGTAGTCCAACAATGATTTTTTTTTCCCCTTTCAAATTTTTAAGTTTGCTTCCAAACCTATAGAGATCATGATGCACACTCTAGGATAATGACTCGCAGAAGCTAAAGGCTCTATCAAGATAGCATTAGAGCACATAAGTTTAAGTCCCACTAACTTAAAGTTAAGCATATGCTTAAATGTTATCCTTATTAACAAGGCTTTACTGAATCAGGGCCATAGAAAGTAATGTTGCAATTGGCATCTATAGCATAATTGTTGAACCAACCAGTTTTTTGAACTAAAGAACTCAGTTTGTATGGATTCAGGTAAGAGCAATTTTTAAAGTGCATGTGAGGAAAAAAAAAAAAGGGGGGGGGGACAATTTTCCTGACACCTTCACTATTATTGCTGCAGTGGAACATGGAGAGGCTTCAGCAGAGAACTGAGGCTGCAGCACTTTTAGGGCAATCAAATATATTTAAATACTGTAGTAAGTTACAAAGGCTGGAATTTAGTTTACTGGAATGACCTGTTGAGTTGCAAACGTGACCTCCAGTAAGCAACAGACGACAGATTCTTGTATAACCCCCAGTGAGTTAATTTGTCAGCCCACAGAACAGTAGCTTTCTACGATAAACACCATCCTCCAGTCAGTATTAGAATATTAATCATACATAATCACACAAGCAATGTAATTAACAGTAGGCTTTATTTACAAAAAGCAGGTAATGGGAGTAATCTGTCAGGCTCCCTTACATGACCAGACACGAAGAAGAGCTCAACATAAGCTCAAAAGCTTCTCTCTCTCGCCAACAGAAGTTGGGCCAATAAAAGACATTACCTCACCCACTTGACTCTCTAATGATCCTTTACAGACAGAAAAAGCCTCTGCCCTGTTTTCATTTTGCTTGAAAAATGCAAAGTACTGAAGGCATGAAAAATAATGAACTTAAATGGCTCTAAAACATGATTTGTTTCATGCCACATGCTGTCTTTCATAAAAAATGTTTGTAGGTAACCTTGTTTGGTTCACCTCTTATGACATCATTACAAATAAACGTGAACTTACTGTCAATTCATTTGTAAGTTGCTGTATTTTCCGTTTCATTTCACCATACTCTCCATACATTTTCTTTCTTACTTTTTCCAAAGTTGCTCTCACCTGTAGTCAGACAAATTATAAGCCTTTGTTATTCAGCCTTTATTACAAATATAATTTAGATTAGAAAACAGACAACTATGTTCTCCAAAGACCAAGATCACCTACAGTATCACCATTACTAAGCCAAAGATGGCTCACTGTGACATTGGTATCTAAGACAACTGTGTAGTAGCTGAGGGTTTATTTACCTTTTAAGGCCCCTCTCTGTATAAACACTGATTTGCATTAATTTAGAAACATAATTTCATCACTAGATTCCAAAAAATAGGCTATTCACCAATTTAATTTTAATACAAAAATTAAACGTAATTTAAAATAACTGCAGGTATAAATTGTTATTTCCTATATGTATTTTTAACACTGGAAACAAAACTGAGTTAGCTACGTTAATCAAACATGAACAGAAGCAACTTTTTAGCTCAAGATTAACTAGTGTTTACAACAGACACAACTAAATATATAAATGTTCTCTTACATGCTACCTTCCAGACACATAGTTAGAGGTCGCCCTTTTCACTCAGTTATGATTACCTACCAGACTGATTAGGTACTGTACAACAGTGAGCATAGTTGGGCCTATGCACAGCTGGAGTCAGGTCAGGAGGTACCGAGAGGTGGCTGCATTCGTGTGTACGTATGTAATAAAGGGGTTCTCAGGACAAATTTTTGGTGGCCTCAGAGTGCGGCCACCAACTTTTGCCGATGGCCGGTCTCACACTTTTTCCTAAAATACTTATTAGCTTTAGGAAAAACAAATAAATATGCACATACACATGTCCAAATCATTGTAATTTTTTTAATGCTAGCTAGTAAGTCTGCTGTGAAAAGTGATATTAAACATACAAGTATCAATTTTCACAGCAGACTTACTTAGCCCTGCCAAGCCTGGGGACAAATTAAGCCCTGGATGTGGGGCCAGGGGAGGCAACAGGGGACTAGAGCCTGAAGCCCTGCTGCCAAAGCTTCCTGCTGCTCAGCCATAGCCCAGGACTGGAGCCCAAAGCCCGGTGGCCAGAGCCTGCCACTCCAGGGCTGAACCCCAAAGCCTGAGCCCCATCACCCCTGGGAAGGTGGGGAACTCACTGGGCGCCTGCTCCTCCAGCATTGTGCCCCAGGTTTCTCCAGAGTGGGGTGGGGCCCAACCCCTGTTAGTGGCCCCAGCATCAACACCAAGACAGGGCATCCAGGAGCAAAAGGGAGGGAGAGGGGACGCTACTCCCTCCCTCCCTTCTCCCCTCTCTCCCCCAGAGGCTGTGGCCACAAGAAATGTCCCTGGTGGTTGCATTTGGCCACGGTGGCCACATTTGAGAAACACTGCTTTAGGGGGGTGCACTCTCAGAAAGGGGTTTGTGCTGCATGGCCATGCCCCAAACCATGTAGTCCTGCCCCCTTTGGAACATGCGCAGCTGAAAGCACCAGGAACTCTCTCTCCTTCCCCTGCCACACACCATTCCTTGTGTTCAAGAAATAACTCAGTAGAGTCTCTCCCCACTAGTGCACCTACCCAGAGAGCTATGATTTTTAGTCTACTTTAAGTTTAAATGTTAAACATCACCTTATATGCATGTATGTAGTGAAGACAGACTAACACCTTGTTGGGCTGCAAAGATGCAAGTCATTGGGAGGAGGGGGGAGCGAAGCTTTTGAATTGGTTTAGTTGAACGCAGCTTTACATGGAGAGAGAGAGGATCACACCTTCCCCCAACCTCTATACACAGCACTGCCAGAATCAAAGCCTAAAAGTTTGTTCTTGTCAGACTTTTATATTAGATAGATAGACCGACCCACCGACCTTTGGCTGTTTTTGAGAATCTGTTCAGACAACACTACTGCCATCCTTTTGATTGGAGGACATACTCTTCATTCTAATACTTGTCTGGACCGAAGGCTTTGATCCAAATAATAAGAGTGCATTTACATAGTATCATACTTCAATTGGCACAAAATGACTGGGGAGGGTGTGGGAAGGGATCTGAAGTTTTAAACAGGATATGTCTGTGAGCTGGTATACCATGTGAGAGGAAAAAAACAAAAACAAAACGAAAAAAAACACACAATGATGATGACAGCACTAGGGCAAACCAAACCAACCCAGCAAATCCAAAGACATGCTGTACAATTGTCCAATCAAAGTTCTTTGAGGCAGCATCTGTCTCTGTTCTGTGTATGTACAGTACCTGGCACAATGGAGTCTGGGTCCAAGATTGGAGCTCCTAGGTCAGTGGTCTCCAACCTTTTTATGCCCAAGATCGCTTTTTGAATCTAAGTGCAACCCAGGATCTACCCTGCCCCTTCCTGAGGCCCCAACCCTTCCCACTCACTCCATCGCTCGCTGTCCCCCACACTCACTCACTTTCACCGGGCTGGGGTAGGCATTCAGGAGGAGGCAAGGGATGCACGCTCTAGGAGGAAGTTTCAGAGGAGGAGGGGGCTCCGAGCTGGGGCAGAGTGTTGGGGTGCAAGAGGCGGTACAGGGTGCTGGCTCTGGGGGGGGGGGGGGTCAGGGCTGGGGTGCAGGAGGGGGTTTGGGGTGCTGGTTCTGGGAGGGGGCTCAGGGTGGGGCTTGGAGTGCAGGAGGAGGTTTGGAGTACAGGAGGGAGTATGTGGTGCTGGCTTCAGAACAGGGCTGGGGATTGGGGTGCAGCCTCCTGCCAGGCACCACTTACCTCCGGCGGCTCCCGTGGTAGGTGCAGCGAGGCTAAGGCAGGCTCCCTGCCTACCCTGGGCCCACACCGCTTCCTGCACCCTTGCAGCCACTGGGGGGAGGAGGGGAAGGGGGCACGTGGCTCCACGTGCTGTCCTTCTCTGCAAGCACCACCCCTGCAGTTCTCCCAGCCAATGGGAGCTGTGGGGACAGTGCTTGCAGTTAGGAGCAGCTCGCAGAGGGAGAACCCTACCCCCCGTCAGAATGAGAGCATTTTCACTCACTTTTCACTGGTGTAAATGACCATACAAGGGACAGGTCAATGGTGAATTGAGCCCAGAATATTACAAAAAGGGCAAGTTTCCTCAACTACAAGAAGCCACTGGTAAGAGAGAGTCAATGATCCCCGACTATTAGAAAATGGCCTATTAGCATAAGAAAAAACAGCCTGCAAGGGCCTGTAAGCAAAAACAAGCAGATATTAGGAATCAATGTTATTACATCCCCTTAAATTGTTAGCCTGACTCACAGTGATTCTCTCTTTTATATGAAAGTTGATCTCTTGAACTTGAAATCAGTATAGCATCATCTGCACTGGCCAGCTTTACTCCATTCCATGGGTGGAATGGAGTAAAGAGAGAAGGACAGATTATTTGCTTTGTGCTAATTAGCAGAATTACAAACTAAACCTAGAGGGTCAAAGATCAACAGGTGAAATATTTAGCTTCAGCATGATTTGGCACAGTCTTACCAAAGCCACTGAATTTACACTTCTATTTCAGGAGAGCTGTTATTTATAGTTAGCTATGACATGTTAGTTTCTCTTATTATCCAATACTTTCTATACAGTAAAATTTGTGCAAGAGGCCACTGTTATTAGGCAACCCCTTACCCTGAAGCTGCCCCAAAGCATCCTTAAATGAATTTGCTACTTTACCATTTTTAGTAACCCACCCAGAACTGGAGAGGATGGGTTTGATCAGTCTTTCAAGGGCAGCTTAAACAATTTTCTATGTATTTGATTTCAGATTATAAGGGCTTTGGAACAGGGACCCTATGAGTTGTTTGGCAGCTTACTTGCTGAACAGAAGCAGGACTCTAGTGCTCCGGTCAGTGTATGTATTAGCTATTCCCCTTGTACCCAACCCACAGAGGATGTGAGTCTGTTACAGTCCCCTGCTACAGAACAGAGGGTTTTTTTACTCAAGTTGTAGAGACTCAATAAACAACAACATTATAGAAAGGATATTTGAGAACATTTTTTAAAATTAAAAAAATATAACTCACATCTTTAATGTAATTCATCTCTTCTTTCAGCTGATTAGCTGACCACCCATAAACCACCATTTCTTTCTTATGGTTATTGTCAGTCCTGTGCACCACACCATACACCATGCCATCAGAGAACTTCCCTGTAGACATTCCATTCGGTACATGGTAGGGTTGCTATTTAAAAACAAAAAACCAAACACCTTTTACCCTAAATAATACTAAACACAAAAACAAATTCAAAACAGCAAAAGGGAGCATGCTACAGACCTGCAAAGAAAGATACAGAAATTCCTTAGATCTTATATACTTGCATCCTCAAGGAAGGATAGAAGTTTCATTAGTCTTAACAGAAATTATATGTGTATGTACAACTAGAGGACTGGATTTCTGGGTGAGAGAGAGGAATGAGGTTATTAAAAAATTAATTGTTCAAGACATTGACTTACTCAAATTCATTATCGGGAAATTATATATATATATATATTATATATGTATGGTTGGATTTGGAGGCTAGGGATAAGTAGATGTGTAGGCACAGTCCATAACAGCTGTTTTCCTTTGCCTGGAGCTGCTCTCAACTTTTGTTTATAATTTACTTTCAAAACGTTTCTTTATGCACCCTTTAAAATAAAAATATCCTGGAGGAAAATCCAGGAGACATGATATATAAGATGTTTTATTGCTCATTTTAAAACTTTTTCATGAAGAAATACATGATAGATGCAGTTTTTACAACTCTCTTATGCAATGTCAGTGCAAGTCTAAATATTTTGCACTATAATTCTTAAACTTTTATGAATAAATGTGGGTCATTTATACATATGAACCCTGATTTAACGTAGTTCTCAGGAAACATCTGAAACTGAAACTTTCAATTAAAAAAATATATAAACTGCATTTAGGATATGGATTTTAGATTACAGTGGTTTGATATTTAGTGCTCAAAAAAAAAAAATCAGGACTTACTTGTACTATATTTTGTTTATATTTTAAGCAGTCCAGTTCACGTTTGAAGCTTTTTTTTTTTTTAAAGGCTGGCATACTCCCATGGTACCCCAATACTTCAGTTCAGGTTCTGTTTCTCCTGCAGGATTTAGTAACATCAGTACTGCAAGACTTGAAGTAGGGCAATGAGCTGCATGGTATTTGCACATATTTGTGTAGGTGTTAGGTATGTTATCAATTCTTGTAAGGGGGACACAGAACTCTGAACTCAGGTCCCAGTAGGTAAAAGTACAGAGGAAGTTAAACTAAAAAAATATATATGCATGTGTGTGCCTCAATTTAAGAGGGACACTGAGTCCCCAATTCAGGCTTTCGACACCTCTGAAAAAAATTAGATACAAGGTGTCACAAATTGGGCACCCAAAACTGAAGTGCACAAAATCAGTGAACACTGCTGAAAATATGGCTGAAAAATATTTATGCATCTGCTTAACTCTATGCACATGAACAGTCCCATTAAACTCAGCACATAATGTAAATGTTTGCAAGATTGACAAAAAACATACATTTTCAGTTTTTTTCCCCCTCTCTATATACTTAGCAGGACCTGGTAGATTTGGGAACATTCCTGAATGTTGCCCTTAGTCCCTCAGATAAAGATTTTGTAACCAAACACATATTCCCATTCAACAATAAGAACTTTTAAAGTTTTTAGGTGTTGAAACTTATTAAGTTTTTAACACCTCCACCACATTTCAACAGTCTAAATATTCTCCTTCCCCATCAACTGAGGGATGAGAAAGCTGCAGCTCAATTTTCAGTCTCTTATGATGTCACATCCCATTAGCTCTCCAGTTCTTCAGATAACACAGAGAAATAAACACCGACCCAGCATGCTCTTTCTAGTATAAAAAAGCTAAAATGCTGGTGGGGGATGAAGAACAAAGGGGATTACTGGAGTTCACCTTTAAAGTACTAACATTAAAGGAACCAAAAATACATCTCCTGGAACTATTCACAAGACAATGAGCTGGCAACTGTAGTACATAATCAATTTGTACTGTATTCTTAGACACAGTACATGAGTTAATCTCTCTGTTTAGAGATTGTTTTTAAAGGATACCTGGTACTGATTTGGAGCAAGCTAGTTTGTCTATATTAGATAATCACACACTACATTAGCTGTGTACGTAACTGGGAAAACAACATTTACCATACAAATGAAAAAAGGAAATATTGCTGTAGCTTTGACATTTAAAAAAAATACATAATTGTGAAATATTTCCAAGCTTCTGTTACACTGATATTTTCTCCTCAATATCATATACAAATATCACCCAACCCCCTCCCACCACATTAAAAGAACATTAAAGTTACAAAGATCGAGCCCTCGAAAGTTAGGAAGTTCCAGAAATAAGGTTGCCTGTGTAACCTTAATTCATAGACTTTGTGCATAAGCATGATGATACATTCTCTAATTCCATGTTCACATGCTTCTTTTTTCAACAGTACCTCTACTTCATTCATTGCACAAGATGGACCTGCTCAGGGGATGAATCAGGATTGTGTAGTAAAGGTGGCTGTTGTCTAGAAGACCACTGCCTCATTTATTGTACTAGTTAATAAGGCATGGCAGGAAGAGAAGGATGGTCTTATGCTAACAGCAGTTGAATGGTGCCCTGGACAACTGGATTCTATTCCTACCTCTGGCACACAGAGTTCTGGTGTGATGCTGGGCAAGACACTTAAAAAAAACAAAAAACACCACATCAAACATTTCATGGGTAGTCATTACTTATGTGTTCCTCATTTTCTGAGTGCCCAGCTTGAGACCCTGGGGTCTGATGTGCAGAACACTCACACTCTGATTTGCTAAACTCTCACAGCTGCAACTGAAGTCAAGAGGAGCTGTTATTTGAAACTATCAAGTGCTGTATCATGCTAAGCACCTGAAAAAAATCAGGTCTTAGACATCTCAAATTGAGCATTGCATCACTACCAGTCCCAGTCTCTTTGCCCTGACATTCCCAGTTCCTCCCTCCCAACTCTTCCCACCCCTGTTTTTTTGCCTCAATCACCTCTCTCCCTGGCTTTTTGTAGCAATCTCTTTGTCCAGCCAGCCCCAATTCTCCCATGCACATCCTTGCTCCTTCTCATATCTCAGTTCCCCCACGCACGTCCTGGCTCCTTCTCATATCTCTTCCCCCACCCCATCCCCCACTCATTCACCCCCCACTGCTTTCCAATCCCAGTCTCCTCCTTCAACCACCTTCTGTCTCCCCCCCTCCTCTAAGCACGGAGTCTGATCTCAGTGTTGTCATTCCTCCCCAAATGGCTCCCAGATCCCCCATTTTATTTCACCAGCTCCCAGTCCCAGCCTCCTTGCCAAACAAGTCTCAGCCTCCTCTTTCTCCCAACCCCAGCCTCCCTACCATCTCTGGCTCCCAATCCCAGTCCCACCCCACAACTCCCAGTCAGTTTCTCTCTTCCCCCTTTCCTCTTCCTGTCCCAGGAAATCTCCTTGTCCTAACTACTCCTTTCCTTCTTCCCTGGTCCAGGTCTTCTCCCTTCTGTATTCCTCCTCCATGCGGTCTAACCTCATTCTGAGAAATGACTGAAACTTATGAAAAATTCAGAAAGCATTTGACAAGGTCCTCATCAAATGTTCTTAAGCAAATTAAGGAGTCATGGGATAAGAGGAAAGGTCCTCTCATAGATCCCTCACTGGCTAAAAGATAGGAAACAAAGGGTGGGAATAAACAGTCAGTTTTCACAGTGGAAAGAGCTAAATAGCAGGGTTCCCCAAGGACCTGTACTGGGATCAAAACTGTTCAACAATGACCTGGAAAAGGTGGTAAGAGTGAGGTGGTAAAGTCTGCCGACAATGCAAAATTACCTTATATGGAAGCTGTTCCATAACCCTAAATCACTTTTGTTGCCCTTCTCCATACTTTTTCCAATTCTAATACACCTTGTTTGAGATATGGTGTCCAGAACTGCATGCAGTATTCAAGGTGTGGGCATACCATGGATTTATACAGTGACATTATGGTATTTTCTATCTTATTATCTATCCATTTCCTAATGGTTCCAAACACTATGAGCTTTTTTGACTACAGATGGACATTGAGTAGATGTTTTCAGAGAACTACGCACAAGGACGCCAAGATCTCTTTCTTCAGTGGTAACAGCTAATTTAGAACCCATCATTTTGTATGTGTAGTTGAGATTGTGTTTTCCAATGTGCACTGTTTTGCATTTTCAACATTACATTTAATCATTTTGTTGCCCCATCACCCAGTTTTGTCAGATCCCTTTGTAACACTTCACAGTCTGCTTTGGACGTATCTGTAGATCATAAGAAGAGCCATACTGGTCAGATCAATGGTCCATCCAGCCCAGTATCCGGTCTTCTGACAGTGGCCAATGTTCTTATGTTCTATAAAATCATGAATGGTGTGGAGAAAGTTAATAAGGAAATGTGATGTACTCTTTCATATAACACAAGAGCCAGCCATTGAAATTAATAGGCAGTAGATTTAAAAAACCACCATCAGGAACTATTTCTTCACACAAAGCACAGTCAACCTGTAGAACTCATTACCAGGGAATGTTGTGAAGGCCAAAAGTATAACTGGTTTCAAAAAAAGAATGAGATAAATTCATGGAGTATAGGTCCATCAATGGCTATTAGCCAAGATGATCACGGACACAACCCTATGCTCTGGATGTCTCTAAACCTCCGACTTGCAAGGAGTTGGAATTGGACAACAGGGGATGCATTACTTGATAAATTGTCCTGTTCTGTTCATGCCCTCTGAAGCATCTGGCCCTGGCCACTGTCAGAAGACAGGATAATGGGCTACATGGACAACTGATCTGATCCTGTATGGCCCTACTTATGTAAATTCAGGTTGCAGTAAACACCCAGAGCATGGAAAATTTCAACCCAAATGGTTAAAGTGATCACAAACTTGTAAGCAACTGTAAAAAGAGTCTTATAATGGGAAATGTTGGGCAACCTTAATAAAAAAAAATGGTGCTAACAACCTCATCTACTACACAAACGCACGTGCACTTGCAGTGCAACTATCAACATACAATTCCACGCTTTAAAAAAATAAAATACAAAAATCATCACAGGCATATTTTTGTATGCCAATAATCAAAGCTACATAATCACATACTACTCTACCCGTCATTAAAAAAACATTTACTTTGTTGAAAAC